AGAGCGGTGAAACTGGACCGCAGAGTGGTCGAGGTGGACACGGACGAGGAACTGCAGCAGCAGCAGCAGCAGCAACAGCTGCAGCAACAACTGCAACAGCCACAGCAGCAAGCGCCGGTGGAACCGGAAGAATCGTTCGAGCCTCCCGCTGCCAGCAGTCCAGGCTCCCGTGACGAGAAGGACGAGAACGAGCGCAGTCCCGGAGTGAGTAACGAGTTCACTTGCCAATATTGCGAGATCGTGTTCGGTAACGTGGTGATGTACACCGTGCACATGGGCTACCACGGCTACAAGGACCCTTACACGTGTAACATGTGCGGCCATCAGTGTACCGACAAGGTGTCCTTCTTCCTACACATCGCCAGGTCGAAGCATTCGTAGGTTCCACCTGGCGAGTAGACGCAACTCTGAGATAGACTCTGAATGGCTATCGCGGAAGTCTCCCTCGGGAGTTCGAGCGAACTGCCTTGAAACTTGTTCGGTGCTTGCGCGATCGAGATCGCGGTCGAAGCCTGCGGATTTCGACGAGGCACGGCTCGACCGACGGGTCGAGTTCCTTTCCCTGTTGACTCTGTCAAGATGACGGATACTGGAGTGTCGCGTCGACGCTACAAACTGTATTCCCTTGGACTCGGAAACAAGCTTGTAGGGGTCAGACGCCGGCAACCCGTGCAGACGTTATCAGCCCGATCCCTCGAAGGATCGGATACTCGTGTACCTTCCGATACGCGCAGACTGTCGCGGATATCTCAACACGTGTACAAATTAGTACATAGACGTACATAGACATTGGTACTATATATGTATATTTTCATAGAGATAAAGATCGTTCGTTTCACCGGTGGCCGGTTTTCGACGCGTTCGTTCGGAAACCGACGTCCTTCCGGCAGATTTGCTGGAACGAGAATCGAAATTTTTCTCTTAGTAGCCCAACGATGATGGCTGAGCAACGTAACTGTTACGGGCAACAGAGTATTTTTCCATTGTTTTTATAGAATTTTCTATATATCGTAGGAAGGGGAGCGTTGCGTTGCGAGGTTCTATTTTATTCGAGATTCTTGTTCCAGGGAATGACTACCGCATTGTATCGTTAGAGGATCGATAGAGTTAAAATCTGGTGTGAGTTACGTGCGAATTGGGAGATGCGAGATACGCCTGAGCCACGTAACGAAATCGGACAGGACGCGGGGTTAGAGGTTGTCGAGAGGATCAAGTGCTTACGGTCAAAATTTCTCGATTCTAGTCAAAATGCACCGAGTGGATGCTGTGAGTGTCGATAGTCTCGGTGTGCAATCTAACGAATTGTAACAGGAAGCGGCTGTCGCGTGTAAAATCATGTAATCGAACGAACATTCTCGGTACTCGACGTTCCGACGTACTCGACAATTCGTTTTCCTTCGTCACTCGAGACAGTGGTGGCAAAGTCCGAATGGAATCGAACCTTCAATGCGTTCTTACGGTCCCTCATTTTCTCTTTTCCTTTTTTTTTTTTTTTTTTTTTTTTTTTTTTTTTTTTTTT